ATGAACGAAAGGCGGGAGCATGGAGAGGGCGTCTGCAACACGGTGACGTCAGCTTCTTCGCAGACATCTCCCTCTTCACCGTCCTCCTCCGCGGTTTCCTCGTCTTCTACTTCTTCTCCGCCATCTCTGGTTTTCTCCAGCATTGCGACGCAGACTTCGCCGTGCCTTGTGATCACACCGTCCCCTTCCTTCGCAGCCCCGGCCTCTGTGATTGGGACCGGTGGGTACACCGTCACCATGACGATAATGCCGCCCAGCACAACGGAACCGCGGCCGTCGGCCTCACCTCTTGCGTGGCTGCTCCGAGCTATCGGTAGCCCTAGCAACAACAACAGCAACACGAGCAGCACCAACCGCAACACCGACAACGGCAACAACAACATCGCCAACAACATCAGGAGCAATAGCAGCAGCAACGTCAGCATCGGCAGCATCAGCAGCAATACCAGTAGCAACAGCGGGAGCAACAACCGCGCACGCCACCAGGACGAAACGCTCGCATCCCGAATGGGCCAAGGGGAGGAATTTCTGCGACAGAAGGCGGCCGGCATCACCAAGGGTATTCTGCGAAAGCGATATGGAGTGATGGGTCTGGCAGCGGTGATGGTCGGTGTGACCGGCCTTGCTGCTTTCGTAGGCCGCTCGCGTTCCCGGAGGTAACCCACATTCGGATATCCCTCCGCCACCCACCCACCCGCCCAGCGTTCCTGCTCCTTTGTCACGGGAGCTTTAGTTTACAGACGTATCATCAAATCAGATCTTCTCGCGATTTGGTACGATTCAGTTGCAGCCAGTTGTTCAGAGTTTTCTTGTTGATGGGAACGATATTTTGCTTGATGTAGTACCTTAAGTTGTTGAGAATGAGCGGCGTAGCATTTATAGAAATGGACGATTTTTTCAGTAGATTTTTTACTGTATTTCTTTTTCTTTATATTCTTGCTTTTTGTCATATATACATTTTTTCATTTTCTATCTCCTTTCTTTGTGTGTTTTCTTTTCTCCCCCGGATGGCCTTCTCTCTTTCTCTGTGCAGTACCAATATTGAACCAGGGGATGTACCTCTCTTTCTGGCCTGTGATGGAGTTCCAGTTCATTTCTGCCTCATGTGGCGTGTGTGTAGAGGGGAGTGGAGGGTCCCAAACTGGTTTCTGTTTATTTTTATTTTCTTACGGACCCTTCGGGTTCATTGCGTTTTTATTCATTTTTTGTAAATTTGCCGGTGACCGTGGGAATCACTCCTCAAGAGTTTGATCAGTACCGACAGAGGAAGGTACTGTGTGTGTGGAGACAACAACAACATCCACAAGATCCCCGGGTTTTTTTGAGGCGTGACATGCGTCAATATATGGCCCTTGACAAGCATGACCTCTTCATATTCAATATGAAAATCGGTGGGCAAAGTCGTGGGAGCAGGACGAAAATTGTCCCCATACTTATTTCACTTAAGTCGTTCAATTTTGACAACAGGCTTAAACTAGAATGAAATATCAACATCCCGGTTCACGGCGGTGCGCTATCAACCCACCACTGGTTCCTCTGGGTGCTATTCCAGTCGTGCGCAACAAAGACACGGCATCATACCTTCCGCAAGAAATCGCGAATTGTGGCTTGCATCTATCTCCCCTCGCCCCTCTGCGCTTGACTGAGATTCAGAAGTGAACGAATTCACAGTTTCAGCGATCGAAAGAAGGTAGGAAGGAACGAGCCGGCAGTTAAGAAAGGTCAAGGTCTGGTCAAGCTTCAATCTCTGATTCTGGCCCAGAAAACGGTCTAGTCCCCATTTTTGTTAACATACCCCGTTTTGTTCATAGATTTTTGTTGTGTCAAGTGCGGACTATGTTCAGTGCGGGTTCTGTACCCGAAGTTTCGCGTATTTTCCATCTTTTCCCTTCGCTTCCCTTGTACAAATAGAACCGACCGAAGCTGCTCAAGAAGGGAGAATAGAGTGCGCCTCAGTCTCTGTGAATGACGACGTAATGCACCACGCAGTCACCACCGTTGTCTTCTTCGCTCGAAAGGAATCTCGCTAACCACACACACACACAGCTGCACAGACAGGCAGACCTCGCGGAGCACTATTTTGTTGCCGCGTTCCGGCGCGTGTTGATTTTTTTCGCGGGTCCATGGAGTATTAATAATACTACTGTGCCGTGCTTCCCATCCACGGGGCACCTCGTTTCCGAGAAAAATATGTCTCGTACGCGGGGGGTGTCTAATAGGCGAGTGTCTTTACAGTGGGGATGACTAAAATATTGTTGCTTCAAATATGGACAACTTTGTTTTCCTGGATCCATGGGAGAATTGTAGTGCTCCGTTCTCACGAGTGATGTATACTCGAGGGGCGGTAAATTGGGGACTACATTATTGAACCAATTGTTGGCGCGATGTAAAACTACCACCAGGTTCGCTTTCGTTACATTGTGTATGATGTTTTTTTCCCGCTCTCGAGGAACTACAAGAAGTCCCTGAATACCTTGGTTTGATCGAAAGGTGAAAACATGCACGTGGAAGAATGCCCTCACCATGTGCACATGGGAAGTAGGCGGAGAATGCGCCCAGATGTGGCAGCTTTCGTGGTGAAGGAGCGTCACGGTGTGTAGTAGTATCAATCATTTCCTTGCAGGCGTGGGGGTACCACCCACACCACCTTTCGCTGTTCTCTGATTTTCTCGAATAGTTTGTCTGTCCTCATCACTCCGTACGGCAGGGCGGTATAGAAAGGAGCACTCCAGAGAAGTGAAGGGTGCCATCGCGAAAAAGACACATGGAGAGAGAGCCCTACACACACAAGATTACAGATATAATGCCTTAGGTAACATAAGATACCACCCCCGCCGGCCAATATTGCATTCTCCGCAGCCATGAGGATGCATCACTCAAACGATAAGTTTTCGGAAAGCTCTACAAGATAAGACGGTTGCGACACCTCTGGTGTTGGCACCACCCACTCTTTCTGCTGCGGCGAAATCGAGCTTTGAAAATCAGTCCAGGGGCTGTGGTATATTACGTAGGGTCTTCACACGTCAGCAAAAGCTGCGCGGAGCACAAGTGTAGCGGTCTACACCTGTACTACAGCAGTACTTCTTTGTAATGTGAATATGATATGTGTGGAGTACGTTTAGTCTAAATGTAGACGATCTGCACAAATAAATCAAGTGTTGCATCTGCTTCCTTGCGCGTGATGGCTCTCTCCGATATAGCCTGTCGCGTTCACAAATAGAGTGGGAAGACGGGCGTGTAGATAAGGCAGCATCCATGCGCGAAAGCTCAAGACTGCCGCAAAACGGTGCGGTCTACGTCACAGCTGACCTACTGCCCTGTACAAGCACACACAAAACCACACAAATCAGCAGGCCACCAGCCGTCGGATGCTGTATAAATGTATCCCCAATCGACTATAATAAAGTAGAAACTGATCATGTAATTGGCAGCGACCAACTTTTTTCGCAAGAGTGACGGCCACGCTGTCAGGTACTGCACCCTTCCTGTCCCGACAGGCTGTAGCTTGGGGTTATGTTTAACGCAAGCAGCTTTGCGGCTTGCGGCAACAGAGGCACCGGTGCCCGGCGGAAAGAAAGTCCGCACCTGCCAAAAACTCGAAATCTCCCGAATCTCCGAGAATTCTCTCTCTCTGACAGTCTCCCTCTCTCGGAATACTGCCCGAAGCAGCATAAATTTGGCCGCTGCCGCGAAGGCTTGCACATTCCCCTCTGACTCCCGTTCTCTACCCTGGCCCAACTGCGTACGCTGCCACCCGGGCACCAGGTCCTCAAGATACCTCAAGCACATTACACCCCACGCTTAGCTCCAGGTAAAGGTTCAGGTGCGGCAGTGATGTATGTCCGAAACGACATGACACATACGCAATGTTCACAGGCACAGCTGCAGCACCGTGGCGGCAGATTTAGCTACAGCAGTACGTACACAGATCCTGTTCTGTACCTCTTCTGCAAGAACAGCAGAGGGGTTGTTGTTGCAACAAGCACACAGAGAGACAGATCAAGAACTTCGCCCGCGGACGGGGGAGTCCTCGTTGCTAGAGCGTCGTGCTCCACACCGCTAAGACGGAGTGTTGCACACAAATAGATGGGAGGAACTTCTCAAAATATTTGCCTGCACCAACAGCTTATCCAAGTGGCTCAGAGAGAACTTTTTTCATGTCGGCCGAAAGATTTACCACTCTGTGACGTGCCCCGCGCAGCGCGCAGGCCTCTCCTTCAACCTAAGTTCGGGCTCTACCGCTTTGTCGCCGAGCACCTTGTGCTACGTGACAGAAATGCTGCGTAGTCAATCTCCGTGGCCTCTGCTTGGCTGTTTGGAAGCTTGCCTGTTTCCAAACCCACCTCTCGCTTCTCTCATCTGGTGTGGACGTAATTTTACAGTCCTGTGTGCATACTGCTGGAGATCTTGCTGTTGCTGTTTTTGTTGATTGCATTGCTGTTGTTTCACGTGGTCGTTGCTGCTGAACCATGACGCGCCATGGCCTCTATCCACCACAACGTCTCTGGCATTCTCCAAGCTTTAGTAGACTACAGCCAACGAGACCCAGGAAAACCCCCTTGCTGAACTTACAGTAGTCACCCACCACGGAGCCAAATTTAAAATTCCCATTTTGATCGGCCCGAGAGGCACCGTCTCAAATCCGGATTCACACGACGAAAAACTGGTTTTAGATCGCAAGATATGCACACAAGTAAGTACGGCATACCCTATCGGCGTGTTCACTGCTCTCAGGCACACGCGCTCTCCTTTCGTTTCCGCAGTTGCTCGTCGACGAAGTGCAAGTCCCCACGAACATCACGCAAGAATCACGCCGACCGGCCTCCCTGTTTCCCCCAACAGCGAACGCGGTGAAGGTTAGGGCGTCTATCCTTGTCAAACAGGGGTAAGTGCTGCTACACACGGCCGCGGAAGGAATCAGTTTTCGCTTCCTCCCCCGGATTTACCAGTGAGGGGGGACGAGGACACGAATACATCAACAGGCAACACACGTGCTCACCATGGCGACCGAGCCCACGCTGCTCTGGAGTTGGCAGGTACGGAGAAATAGTGTGTGCGTCATGTAGTATGCAGAGAACCAAAGCAGCCAGCCGCATGTTTTTTGCCGAGACTCGGCCTGGTACAACTATTTTTCACAACCCAGGAGAAAATTGAGAATTTGTTAGCCCGCCGCACGAATCGGTACATTTTTTTTTCACACACACGCGCACACTCCCCGTTTTTTTTGTCACACACACAAACCTGGAACAAAAGCCTGCAGCCCCCCCCCCCCCGCCGTCTGCAGTGGACCGCACGGCCAACAAAGGAAAATTTTGTCCACCGACTGTCTATAATCGCGCCACCTGCTCGTCGAAATAAAACAATAATACAATTTGTAACAATAGTACAATTTGTAGGGCGTCATTTGATGGGCGGCCAATACCTTTTTTTGTCCACGCATGGCTGGAAATAGGGGTAGAGTACTCCTGCTGTGGTGGTGGCCGAGGATCAACGTAAAACGAAAGATGCTCGATGCGAATCTGCTGTACCCGTGAAAACCCTGGACTGTGTGCCTCCTTAGCTTGTTTCGCCTTAGGGATATTTTCAAATATTTTCTGTTCGACTGTGGGAATATCTCGAATGGGTCTGTAGCCTTTCTGTGTGTGTATTTGTTTTTCCTAACAAATATCTGACCTACCTGTCTTCATCTTCATCTCTCTCTCTCTCTGTGTCTCTCTCTCTCTGTGTCTCTCTCTCTCTGTGTATGTGTGTGTTGTGTGTGTGTGTGTGACAAAACACACACATCAGGACGGTACGAGCGGAACGGACAACTTGTACGGCGTCGCGGCAGTGGGCGGAGATGACTCCTTCGTCCTCGCGGGACGGACGCAGGGCGACTGGGCCGAGACAAACGAGGGCGACTTCGACTTCATGGCGGTCAAGTTTGCCCAAGACGGCACGGAGCAGTGGAGGCTACAGGTGCATTGCGTCATTTTCAATATATATATTCGACCATCGCTGAGAGACTGTCTACCCGGTTGAGAAAATGTTCTAGAGCAGTCGAAGGGGATATTTTGTTGTTGATTTTTGTACCGCGTGGCATGTGTCGTTCGCAAGCAGGGTGGGGGTAGGTGGGTTGTTTGCTGCCTGTCAGGAAATCCTTGTTACAAACCTACCACGGTCATCAATGGGTGGGGGGTACGTAGAAACGTTTTTTTTTTCGTATTTCGAAAACGGGATGGGTGGCTTCAAGTCCGAAACGAACCAAGACATCTCGAGCCCCGACCCTTCGCTTGTCGCTTCTTCTTTCTGCACAGGCCATCGTCGCAACTGCGTGGCCGCCGCCCCTTACAACAACCCCACGCATTAATTTTTTTGTGTTTGCTCGACGACAGGCGGGGACGCCCGAGACGGACACGTTTCATGATGCCGCGGCCGTCACGAGCTCTCCGAGCACGGTTGCCAACATGGCGGCGACAGGCACGTCGGCGGCCGGCGACGAGTCGACTGCGATCATCCTCGCGGGATTCACGAAGGGCGGCTGGGACGGGGCAGCGAGCGCCGGCGGCAGCGACTTCGTGGCGGTCAGCGTGGCGTCTGGCGACGGGAGCCAGTTGTGGAGCTGGCAGGTACGACGCGTTAGCGGCAACGGTTGAGTGGAACGTTCAGAATGTTTCTTACTGTTCTTAGTGTTCTTGGTGAAGCACAAGGAATCCATCCATCTCTATCCGCAGGCGAACGTCCCATTTTTGTATGTTGTTGCTGTTGCCTTCACGTTGGAAAACAGCTTCGATCCAACCCTAAAAGCGTCTCTCTCTCTGCCCGTGGCGAGCGTCAAGTGCTTTGGTAGATCGCGTTGGTAGATCAAGGAAGGTACCCCCCCCCCCCCCGCGAGAGCCTGCCACTCTGGGTTCTAGAAGGATAGCGTCGGGAGAACGATATGCTCGTTTTTACGACTGGCTGGTACGTCTTCAGGGCTTGTGTGCAAGTGCCGGCTGACTTGATGCGTGAAAAAAGCGTGGGTATTCTAGCGTCGACAACGGGGCGTGTTGAGCACGCGAACAAAGCCAAAAAACGTTTCTTTCAACAAGCAACAAACCATATATACGTACGCGATGAGCGCCCCCCACGTGGTCGCGATGCATGGCGCGGCGTGCGGCTGAGTGCGGCAAGTAACACGGCGTAACCTTTAACGGTGTGCGCACAACATGCATACACGGTGCCCCCCGCGTGCTTGGTTCCTCCGGACAGGACGGGACCGAAGAGGACGACGTCCTGATGGGCGTCGTGGAGCGCGGAGGGGGCTCCGCCGTTGTGCTGGCGGGACGCACGGGGGGGGACTGGGCGGATGCGAACGCAGGCGAAGGCACCGACTTCGCCGCGGTGAAGCTCGAAGCCGGTGACGGGAGCGAGATTTGGCGGTTTCAGGTATGTGCAGTATATATAAATATATATGTATGCATATATGTCGTTCTTTTTTTTTTGCGCGTGACGTGTGCTCCCTGAAGAAAGAGTGCGCACTCCTCCATCTGGTAGCGGGTTTCCACTTGACTCGGATGTTTCCAGGCACGGTAAGCCGGTACACGTCGAGCGCCACCCCAGAGAATTTACTCGAGCCGTCGCCCAAGCCGCAAGCTACACCCAAGGCCGCGCTCGTAAACCAGACTCGAGATATGCAGGCTGTCGGCCGTCAAAGCACCAAATACCCCCGAAACAATAAACCGATTTTTTTTTTTCCCTTCGATGGTCATACCTTGAAGGCGAAACGCGAACGTCGTTGCTTGGCGGATGTCCATCCGCGCTTTCTCGCACCCCTCGTCCACACCTGAATATCACCCCAACAGGACGGGTCGAGCGGAGACGACACCCTCAAGAGCGTCGCTGCGGCGGAGGACGACACGGTCGTGCTGGCGGGGTACACGGAGGGGAGCCTGGGCGGCGATAACGCCGGCGAAACGGACTGCGCCGTCGTCAAGCTCGACGCCGACGGAGGGGTGCTTTGGAGATGGCAGGTACAGTCCGCTTGGGGTTGGGACCGATCGCCGAGAGCGGAGGCCGGCCGGCCGGCGGACCCGTTGAACGCCTGCTTCGACCCTGCGACTTGCTGCTGCTGCTGCTGCTGCTGCTGCTTGGCCCTCGATCCTTCCCTGCCTGACCCACCACCGCGGCATGCACGCCCGCCCCCATTCATTGTTTGCCGTGCGTCCCCTCCCGCCCGGACAACACCCGCCACGTTGGGTATGCCCTTGCACTCCGTGTGGCGTGAAATCTTCCGGAACCGTCGCCAGCCCCAACAAGAGTTTCCGTATCAACCGGCATGGGAACCCATTTGGACCGCGTACTCCCACCCCCCCAAAGCCGACCGCTGAATACGAAAACCCGAACCCCTTCCTTCGTGCACAACAGGGAGGCACGGCCGAGTCCGACGTCTGTTCCGCGGCGGCGGTGGCAGAGGACGGGTCCATCGTCGTCGCGGGATATACCGTGGGGAGCTGGGGCGGGAGCGAGGCCAACGCCGGGGAGGACGACTTGGTCGTGGTTAAGCTCGACAAGGACGGAAACGAGCTCTGGCACTGGCAGGTGATTGCTGGGAGTTCCACCATTTTGGATGCACCGCCCCCGCCGGGGATGCTACAGTACCGGGGAGGTTTGGGTCGACACACTTTTAGCAGGAAGGAAAATGTGGTTATTAATCCAGAAACTACAAGTGGAGTTACCGCGGCTGTTTCTTTTTCTTTTGTTATGCGATACGTCACTTTTATTTGTCTGGGCCATTGTCTGTGCCTGCCTGACGCGCACCGTGGCACTCGGCGCCCTCTGCACGCTCCCGCGTGCCGCACCGCGGCTGCTCCATGGTACCCACTTCTAGCTCTCTTGATCGCATGCGTTGTACCCGCGGCGAGTGTTCGACGACTTCAACACTCAAGGGAGGGAGTTATAGAAATGGGAGCAGTTACTGTTCGAGGACGGACACGAAAGGAGGATCTTTCCGAGAGGTGGCTGTGCACCCATGCTTTTCATGTTTCACTTCAACATTCACGACTCACATACATGCACGTGGTTTCGTGGAAGGCCGACCGACCGCCTCAAATTCACGCCCGGAAACGCCACACAGGAGGGGACTCCTCTCAAGGACAGGCTCTTCGCCGCGGCCCTTTGCGAAGACGGGGGCTTCGTGCTGGCGGGCTACTCCGAGGGAGACTGGGCGGCCGCCGATGCCGGCGCCGGCGGCTCCGACCTGATCGCCGTCAAGCTTTCCCCGGAAGGGGAAGTCCTATGGAGATGGCAGGTTAGCTACAGCTACAAATAACAAAATGAAACAATTTTGGTTGTCTGACGAGGCGAAAACATGGAGATTCACTATGTGACTGCGCACAGGAAGAGGCTGACTTCTTGACAATTCTTCCTTTTATGATGCTGGCCGGCCATGTATTTATGATACCGTTCAGGGGATATGTTGTTGGCACTGCTACGTTGCTTGCTCGCTCGCCAGCTCGGTTACTTGCTATGCTTTTCCCGAGGTACTATTTTATTGTAGCTCACGACGTTTCGAACCGCCACTGAAAATCGACCGTCGCCCCGCTACTCGCATTACTGCAGGACGGCAACGCCGGCAGCGACTGGGTCACGGCGGCCGCCTCGACCGGTAGCGGCGGTTCGATCGTCCTCGCCGGCACCTCCGAAGCGACGTGGCAGGACTCGGCAACAACAACAACAACAGGGGACGACACGACCGGGCTGACGACGGAAGACTTCGTCGCGATCTCGCTGGACGGTGGGGGTAGCGCCCCCACCCCGGCCCCCACCCCGGCCCCCACCCCGGCCCCCACCAGCATTGCCTACCGCATCTCGAGCGGCAGCGGCGGGGGGAGAGGCGGCGGACGGCGGCGGCGGCAGTGCCAGCAGCAGCGCCAGCAGCAGCGCCAGCGGCAGCGCCAGCGGCAGCGCCAGCTTTAGCGGGGTGTCCGGCGCAGGCAGCGGCAGCAGCAGCGGCGGCGGGGGCGGCGACGGTGGCGGTGGCGTCACGAGTTCCCTCAGTGTCAATAGCAACGAGGGTGGGAGCAAGGGATCCTCGTCCTCACCGGCGGACGGATCAACCGTGCCGTATGTCGGAGATTCTTCTTCCTCTGGGGGGAGCAGCGGCTCCGACACCGCCGCCGACCGCGAGATTACCACCGACGACTCGGGAGCCACGGCCACCACCCCCGCCCCGGTGACGGTAGCGCCGTCCCCGTCCCCGTTGCCGCCCTCGAACGCTCCGTTCTGGATTGCGGCGTCACCAGTGGCCGAGGCCGACGTCGATGCCACCCGTGCACCTGTCCCCGCCCTACCCCCCACCTCTCCCGACAATGTCGCCGGCTTGACGAGCGGGGGCTCGTCCGTGATGGCGATGCCTTTGCCGTTCTCTTCTCCGGCCCTGGGGGGTGGGGCTGGGGGCAGTCACGGAGCCCCCCTCTTCTTCGGTTTGGCGGTGGCAGTGGCGGTGCATCTGGCGCGCCGGGTGTCAGCGTCTCTGTTTTTCTAAGCCGTGTTTTTGTCGAACGGAAGTTGTGGTATTATTTTTACGATTGGGTGAACCTGGGTCCGTCGATGTGCGCACGCATTCCGCACACGACGAAATGGCCGCGGAATAGCCGGGCGGCGCTCTGCCGCTCTGTGTTGTTGTGGCGGCATTGTTTGTTTTTCCCTCTGAGCGTTCTCCTGTTTTTCTGGTTGGCACGCAGCCCAAAACCATGGTGTTGACGGTGGCCAGCGGGAGGCAGGAATATGGCCAAGAGTTGGCACCTCGTTCTACCGGTTGTTGTATCGTTTAGCTGCTGAGTCTGACGGTCGAGAAGCGTTTCTGTCCTTGTGGCGCAGCTGTATTGTGGCCAGTCCCCCTTGGTTTTTTTTTTCGCGCAAGTATAGAGGAATGAACACACCTAGCAAAGCTTGCGTTGAAGGTTTCGTGATGAGAGACGAGTGTGTTGGTATCGGGCGTCCGGCGTTTGGGAGACGTTGATTTTCGTGTTCGTGGTTTTATGGTGTTTATAACAGGGAGAGAGAGGGAGGGAAAGAGACAGAAAGGCAGACAGAGAAACCGTGTGGATTGTGATTCCGTAATCTCTGGGGAGTGGACTCCGTCTTCTTTCAGAGTCGCGCTAGTGTATTACGTACAGATGCGCCCTTTCACTCGAGACCTTGGTACAGTAGTTGTGTAAACTTGAGGGCGCGCGATTTTCACATGTGCTGGACCTATATGTTCCCTGCTGGCTTCCCCACGTATGTATGTGTTGCGTGCCAGAAAAAAGCCGGTTCTTGAGTGAGGGCCGGTTCTGACACGTGCATAGATCATTTTTTAAGGACTCTTTTTTGTCGAGAAGGGGGACGAGGGCGGTGCATGATTTTGCTTCTTGCATGACGATATAGTCAAATATAAGTACTCCGGGATGAGACCAGCCCAATTTCTTCGAACAATGTGAAGTTTTGTTTTGTTGTTGGCTGCTTGTCGTGTGGGGGGCATGAGTACATACATCTCTTTGTCGTAGGTTGGACTCCTTTGCATGTTGGCGCTGCTCTGCGCATATTCATGCGTTTCTTCACACTGTATCGAATGTTGGTTGATGTGATGGACCGTGAATGGTGCCATGAGTCGTGCTCCGCGCAACCCTGGCTGGTATCTATTTCTTGTGTTTTGTCTCTTTTTGCCGTGCGTTGTTGTTGTGGGTGTAGTCTAGTCGTCGTTGTCGTTGTGCGCTCACCGTTCAAGACGCGTGTGTTCGTTCTTAGTCGATGACATTTTGGCACGACAAAAGGCGGTTCCGTTGGCATCCCGTGTAACGAAAGAGGGGTGACACTCTCTTCACGTCAGTGTTCGTTGTCAGGTTTCGAAAGATGGCTTCATTTAGTTTTCTTCGCTTGATTGACTGAGTGAACATCGTACACTTTAGTCTATTAGTCTACACCGACCGCTGAGCGCTTGCTTTCGGTCAACAGTGGACGATTAAGAGACGGCTGTTGACCACGATCGCGTTGGAGTACTCACTCCCCACGCAGAGGGTTTGGGCAGCTGGGAATATATGTGGTTTGGCAACACGGCCGATCGCAGCCTACAGGGACGACGTTACTCTCTCATTCCCAAAAAACACGCCGCAACTTCGCTCGGTGGCGGATCGATCGGTCCGTGGATTAGACTAATGCCGGACGCGGGATTCATCTATGTTCGTCTTCAGCTTATGTGCAGACAAGAACTAACTGTGGACGAGGACGCAGGTCTACCCTTTTCTCTAATTGCGGGTATATATTCCGCTCTTCTTCGCCTCCTTAGTATAATAGTACTTCTGTGAGATTTCTGAAGCCGCCCTTTTCAGGCGCGTGCTTCACGCCAAGAACCCAACTCATCTCACTCAGAGGCCTTTTTCGCGCCAAAGCACATTCATTCAACATCCGACCGGGCCTCTCTCTGGGGGGGGTTGGATGCTTCCTCTGTCGTGTCGAACAGAAAAATGTAAGAAATCGAGGTGCTGATGTTTTCGATGTACTCTGATCCCACACGTTGATCTACTCGAGCATCATGCCAGCTAGCCCGAAACCTAGTAGTGCAGTCATTGGTCCTCAATATGTGCGCGGCGAATCGACCGGAGATATTCAGAGGGACCGGCGGTATCCAAAGCAATTTCACTCTTGTGCCCGGCAATTCCACCAGCGCTACACAGGGCCCACCCGCGTTATTCGACCGGCGTTGTTAAGGGCCCACCACGGTACACCAGAATGGTATCGCAGCTTGCCTCGGGGCAATCGTGCTCGTCCTCTACGATTTTTTTTTTTTTTTCAAGTATCCCGTTTCCACCGGGTTGAAACGTGGAAATTTTCAACCGGCGTTGAGGAGGGCCCACTACGGTACACCACATTTATCGAATCCCTCGTTTTTCGCAGACCGGGCGTCAAGACGGGCAAGAAGAAGACAGTGATCCGTCCAATGCACCAACAGCAGTCGCGAGGAGGCAAGGCTACTACGATAAGCTAGTTAGCTGCCAGACGCCAACGGCTGTAGCGACGAGAATAGAGGCTCCATCGAGAACGTGTGTGGATTGATCAGGTTTTCGGTGACCCCCCCCCCCCCC